ATGTATGACCCATATCAGTAGCAATCGCATCTGACGACAGCGCCATGGCAGCCTTTGCGGCGCGACGTTGCGAGCGCGGTATAATATTAGACGTATCGACACCAACAAGGTCGTCTTCCGTCATCTTAAGCTCAGACTCCGGCTCGTTTCTTATGTTTTCACCATCGCTTTCAATCGCTCAGTGTTTTTTTAATTGGGGTCATGTCCTCCACGTAGCTGTCATCCTCATCGTCAGCTTCATCATCGTCGTCTTCAGTCCCGTTAACAGGATACCGTTTTTTATTTAGAACCTCGGCTTTGATAGCAATAGAAACCGGTAATGAGACGGTACAGTAAGAACATCAACTTACAATTAAAACGCTCTATTAACAAAAACAATAGGTAGCATGCAATCAAATGAGCTGGCATCAACTGATACAGTTGCTACTTGTAATCAAGAGATCCATATAGTAAGCTCCAACCTGACAGAATCATCAGTTTCTATGGAGCAAGCTTATCGCTTTAAGTATAAAGAGACGCTCGTTCCTCATAGTGGCCCGACGTCTCATGTGGTAAGACGAATGGGATAGTAAAATCAATGATATATAACAATTTTCTTAGATTCGGCCGACAGCAAATTGCTTGCCAGAGTCGAAGCGAGCGAATCAGATTGAACATGCTGAAGATGATCTTGAGGCTGACATGGAGGAGGTCAAGACTGCAGTTCACGCCTATAACGTTGAGTTTCAAAAGCGCATTGTATGGCATAATAATTCTTTTCCTCTCAGTTGATTGCTTTCTTATTTATCGCTCTAATCGAGTGGAGTTGTGTGATAGGATACAGTGAAATTACGTGGTCGCGATCTTGAGGTAAAGTTAGAAATTGAAGACGACGCTCTGATGACTTCCATGGACCAGTTGCGAGGGAAGATTCAGAAACAATTCGAATCAGCATTTGTCGTACTTGAACAAAAGACGCTGTCATATTTTGCACGTGTTGAGACTCACGAAATTGTTAGCCAAGAAAAGAAGTAGGCTTGCAATATTTTCTTGACTGAGTCCATGATTGACCGATTGACCAAATTACGCTGGCCTGACGCAGACTGCAGGACTGCAGGTCTGAATTTCATTCGTTCGCGTACACGACGGTTCCTAATATAGTTGAAAAGCTTCAGGGCACTGTCACAAGCAATCTAGAGAAAAAGTGCGAGACTTTTGACATCGAAAATGCCAAAAACCAAATGCGTGAGAAAAAGACGTTACGCACTTTGGAATGCAATGAACGCAAGTCAGAAGCCAACATTCGTGCTGAATACGCTCGACGTGTTGCTAAATTTCAAGAGCGGGAAGAAGAACTCCATCACGTCATGCGCGTAGACAATCGCTGTATCGAGCGACTCCAATCAATAAAAATCCAAGGCCTCCTGGATCTGTATTCTCGGCTTCAAGCCGAAAGTACAACCCGTGAAAAGGAAGACTCAACAATACTAGACAATCTGTCGTCATCATTCGGACGACTTCAAATTAGTATATTCGAACATCTAGGAGACCACGACGACCAATTGCGAACGTTCAATTGCAGTCAATGACTTCAGTCCTGACAGATGAGAATGAATTATCAGAATAGTCACAAATTATGACGAAATAGATGGCAAAAGGATGTTATCTGATATTAAACTGACGAAAGCGACTGTTGTGTGCACTAAGTATGCAGGCTTGTGCTTAAACGTCCAAGTCATCGAATACTTTAAAAGCTGAGTTGTTCGACTCCATCCAATGTACGTCATCAATAATCAAGCATCTACGGAATTAATGAAAAGCGATATCTAGAAAGATGTGATGATTTGGCTGTGGTCTGTTTTTGCGGATTGATCGATGAAGCATAACAATTCAGCATGTTAGAGATTCGGAAACTTTGATTTGCTAAACGGTGATGGACCGCTTGAATATATAAGGAGAATTTATTGAAGGCACCAGAACTTAGACATCGATCACTATCACAATGGCAAAACGCTGATAATCTCAGGTATTTACTTTACCAATAAAATTGTGAATATATAACTCAACCGTTATAAGCTTTTGCTTATTAATTAGCATTGGATGGCTTAGAAAGAACTATGTAGCCAAGACCAAACATGTCTGTTTGTTGGACACTTTTGTCATGAATTCGTTGTAAGTACGTAATTATTCCAGAATTATAGTTAAAAATTTTGTCAGCTTGTTAAGAAAAGGGTTGAATAAGGATGTTTTTTTTATAGGGAGAATAAAAAAAATGCCCCAACTTTTGCCATATATAAAAAAAAATATCCCAACTTTTCAAAAAATAAAAAAAAATACCCCAGCACGTAAAGTATCACGGGAGCCGTAATATTACACAACAGAAGATGTATTGTATTCGGAATGAATTAGCATAATTTAACAAAATACCCCACAATTCAGTTTACTATTAACCAATTAAAGCTAAATTAAAGAATACGTGACTTCTAACCAGGTCCCAC